CCGTTCAGTCTATTAACCCACTAGAATATATTCCAGACTTTAGCAATTACAAATCTTTGAATTTCCAAGTTTATTTATGACCAATTAATGTCTATTTGTTGTTTCAGCATTTTCCTTCAAAGTCCATTCCTTCCCCATCATTTATCCTCCTGCTAAGTTTGCTGATAAAAGTCCTAGCTTCTTTCAGTTTGCCTTTTCTTTTGGCTACATGAAGACAAACTCTTCCACCTCTTAATTGTGCTGGAAGCTCTTCTTTGCACATACAACATTCTGAATCCATCTTTCTTACACCTTGGTTATCAGAACTGCATGTTGGATCATTTGTGAGATTTTGCCAGTGCCTTGTAGAAAGATACACACAAATATCTTCTGATGTCTCCTTGAAATACATTGGCTGTTTTTTTTTTCTGGAATCACAGGTGTCTTTTACAGATCGATATTATCCTGATGACCGTAATAGGATCGATACTAACCTTGATGTTCTTTCCTCAACCATTTTCTACCCATGATCTCCACTCTTAACATCAATTTTTTGATTAATATTTAAATGCACAATATCTCTTAATTTATTCTCAAGAGCACATGCTATTCAAATCCTTCCATGACTGCCAACGCCTGCCAACAATGTATCATCTACAAAGTTTATTAGCATGTGCCAATTTGGACAACAATGAAGGTACTATCCTGGAACAAATCATTGAGGAACTTTACCAGTCCCCTTTTGTCTTAGTAAAATGGTCCTTCTTTTGTGACAACCTCATGTTATCACTTTACCTACCTAGTGTGCTTGTACTAATCATCACTTCTTACAGCTGAATTAATTTTTTGGATTCAAAATTTTGAATCTTGATTTACAAAGTCCAAGAGTATTAAGTGTTCTATATATCAAAAGAATTACTGAGTGAACTTCAAGTTCCAGATTCATAAAATGCTCATTATTTTATTTTGTAACAGTTCCACTGGATTTTTTGTCTTTAACAATTCAAAACCATTTTTTAAAGCCAAGTATTTTCTTAAAATTTTGCCAAACTGTCAGACTTCAGGTGCTCAAAGGCTGTGTTCCATATAGCTGTAATCAATGCAAAGTTCAAATATATTTGCAAAGACAGGATTTTGAGATGATGGAGTATTTCTTGGAAGTTGTCAAACAGTGGCCAACAAGCATTAGATACTGTAAAGTAAACACCATTAACATTATTACCAGATAACAATACTGTCAATATATTATGAATGCAGAGATCTGACAATAGCTTACTTCAGCCATGTAACACTTATTAGCATAGGTACTGTGATACAAATCAGATAATCTTTGACACACAAACAACTGAAGACATGACTTACAAATGTCACCAGTTGAGTGCAGGTGATGTCTAGTATTTTTGACACCCTATCCATGAACAGTAAGAAGACTGCACGTCTGATAGATTTGCTAATGTTTCATGACCCCAGAGAATCTCTAGATTTTCTTTAAAGCAATTTTCCCTTTAATTTCCATGATTTAAGAGAACAGTTAATTTCATTCAAGAAAAATTTCTTCTTCTCCTACAGCTGAAATTCTACTAAACAAAAAAATTGTATAGATGCAACTTCCCCTTTGAAAAGTAAATTCTACTATCCTGCCCATCACCAAGGTCTATGCCTGTCTTTTAAGTTAAACATACATGTTTAGCTTTTCATAATGCATCTCTCAAAATATATTCAACTAGATTTAAGATTTTCCTAAAGCTATGAATATTTTTCTTTAAACATTACTAGTTACCCGTGCAAGGTATTTCCAATTATCTAACAATTATTTTTTCTTTTTTCTCCTCTTTTCCCCCCTCTCCCTGCTCCACCCCAGCCCCTATTATAACATAACCCCCCTGCTTTTAAAAGTATGTGGCACTGAAATATTTCAATTGGATCATAAACTGAAATATACCAAAACCAGCAATTTGATTTAGGTGTGATGAATTCCATAATGCAATTTTACAAGAAAGGGTTAGATGCTACATATAACCTGCACTTCTCTTAAAATACAGATCCTAACCTAGATTTTAATATGACATCACTTTGTAAATTTCTAGTTCTTAAAGCCTGAACAAGAAGCCTGCTTATTTATATGATTTTATATATATTTCATTTATTCTATTAAGCACCACCATTTGGTGAAACTCAAAGAAATTCTCTTGACTCTGCCAATCACATAGTTTATATTCATAATTACAGTTATTTCAGCTGCAAACAAAAATTGTTTGCAAATGTTTTTCAAATAAAATAATTCAGTTGCTTTGCCTTGCTATGCATGCTCATCACATTTTATATTCTATATTTGTACTATTGACAGTTGTCAAAAATTTTCATCAATATTAGAAGGAATACTGGTTACTACATCTTTTGCCACCTGTTCTCCCATTCAGGAAGCTTGTTAAGACATAAGTTACGTTTTATGGAGCCAACTACAAAGTTCCAGATGTAGCCTTGTCTTATTTAACAGAATAATTATCTAATGCAACTCACAAACAGTGCAAGAGTAATGTTCATATCTACTACTTTTATCAATGTTTTCACTCAAAATATTCCAAGGTGCCTAAAAATAAGTAATTTATCAATTTATACATGAGTATAAAGGAAGCAAATTAATGTGTTGAATGTTCTAATTAACAAGAGCTTGTCAAAAAATACAGGACACAAAGGTTTTAATACAGAAGTAATTTGTTTATATAGAATGAACTAATTAGGAATGTATATTGCATTCTAGAAAGTAACCAGAACACTTGATATTGCAAATCTGACCTTAAAATACTATAACTTTTTATTTTTTTAGAAGTAATTTTTAATTTACTAACGTAATGGAAATAGAAAGAACCTTGCTCAAGGAAAGAAATCAAGGGTTAAACTTGTATTCTGACCCTTCTGGTTCATCTTCTTCAAAATTCTTCACTAATGTTAAACAGTTATGATTTACAGACTAATGTTAATCAGTCATGATGTACAGTAGGAAGGGTCTGTTCTTATCTTTTTCAATAAAAACACATGATTTACAAAAAAAATCAGTTAAACAACTGTTTTGAAAGGGAAAAATGCACCAGTTGCCTCATTGGATCTCTTTGCTATTTCTAACACCTTTCCCTTGTCTCCCCCACAGCTGAAGAGCTCCCTTGCACAGGAGGGATTTGCTCTGTTGTCACTGAGGACACACAACGGAGTTAACAGAATTGCAGGAGTGCAGCTGAGGACAGATTTTGGCTGGTAGAATCTTTCTTACTGATCATGTAAGGTGTGATGGAAAGATCCCAGTCTGACAGACTGAATCAGCTTGTCAAGGTTGTCAGGTAAGGAAGTAAAAACCTCACTTCTTGTAACCTGGGCACATTTGATAAGGATTGATTGAGACATAATACACACAGACACCCAGAGTATAATGATCTAGTAGCTCTTTCTGTTCAAATACAGACACGCTTCAAAGAAGCATTTGGGGCTTATAACCTCTACTATTTTCCATTCATCCAGAATAAACATTTCAATTTGCATGCCCAGATTTAAATTGGTAGAGTATGTAGAATTAAGAGAAGCCATTAACAGCTAAATCAGCATGACCCTTCTGTGAATTAAAATATTTCACAGATTTAGAACATTAAATGAGAGAACAGAGCTTTCTAACCTCTAATCCAACAAGTCTCTGTAAACTTAGAGCACATTCAGTACACTGTCATAGAGCTACTGGCTTTGAAGAAAGTTCAAAAAATTAAGGAAGGAACAAAGCTGCTGGTGGGTGTTTTTCTAACATTTTCTCAGCCCCTCTTTCACTGAAAATAGTGTTCAAGAGAAGAAAAGAAACAAAATCCTTAAGGCTCCAGTATGTTTGAAAAGAATTATCAAAAACTGGTTACCGATAGAACTGGCATCAAATAAAAAAATACGTAATTGACTGAAAAAATGAGACCGAGAAGAAAGGATTAGATTATTTTTGACTAATAAAAGATGTCAAAAATTATAATAATTCCTTTCCACCCGGAGGTAGGCTTGAAATATCATTACTGAGATTCTAGGATGGTTTTGAATGACTGGAGAACAACACAGTTTAAGACCTTATTTGGGCAATTTCCTGCTAGCCTGTCTTATATAACTAATAAGAGGATTATATACTTCAAAGCTGGGGTTTATCATCCTACTGTGCTGACCAGGGCCATCAGTTCACTGGTTGGGCTGATAAAGTGGAATTAGATGTCAGAAATGGACCTTTTTATAATAGTAAATAGTCATATATCCTGAACAATTTATAATTGAAATAACCAACAATTTGCAATTCGCAAAATATGGTAATGAAATTTAATATGTGACTGAACTTTAGACTTCTGTAAACAGCGGAAACATTTTTGACTAAAATTAGAACAATGCCAAGATGCTACAAAAGAGAATGTTATTACATATCATCATAAGAAAGCTGTTATTATGATCTGCAGTTTCCTGGTGCTGAGCTCCAGATGTAAATTATATCTGAAAATAATGCTTTCACTAAATAGTGTCCTATCTGTTAGAAAATGCTCTTTCCCATTGCATGGAAGATACATCAATCTACTCAGAAAATGTAAATACGTTTGCAGCTACACATGCACAAACACAATTATAACAAATATTATATAGGTATGTGAGGATATGAAATCTATGCAGTATTAAAGAAATTTATTCTTTAAGAAAAATTGCCCAAAATTTAACAGAGATGAGTTACCATTCTTCAGTTTGTTGTGCTTTCAAATAAGAAAGGAAAAAATAGTCACATTTATATCTGCCATTTCAAAAATGTAGATTTATGTTTTACAAAACCATGAGTTTGACCACTGTCAAATGAAGCTTGCATTGAACTTAGCATGCAGCAGTGCCCTGACCATTGTATTACTACATAAAGGCTATTCAGATTATTCTTTTTGCAGTACTAATTAATTTAATCTCTGTGATGTAGATGCACTCAGGTCTCTGATAATAGCTTATCTATAAGTAGCTCTCCACTAACTAGATATGGTCAACCTGTGCCACTTGAGCCAAGTGTGCCAGTGAAGTTGTACCAGAGAAGGAGCTGTCAGCTATTCCAAATCTACAGCTATGGCATAAAGTAAAGTAGCAAAACTGCTCAGACCAATATTGTTACATGACTCACTTATATGTAATGCAGAGATAGAGCTGTTATCATGTCCTGCTATTCCTAGAGCTCTCCACGTCCTTGGCTCTCTTATTCCATGGGAAAAGTGATGAGGCTCCACTCCCAGCCAGACAAAGATTCTGGTTCAAGGCATAAAAGGTCAGTCAACTTACCCTCTATACAAAAAAAGTTATTTTAGCCCAGTCAAAAGATGGACCATTAACCTCTTATGTTATAATGTTTCTAATGTTTGTTTTAAAAAATAGTATACACTCACTCTTTGATGTTTATTAGGTAATGATTCTAGCAAACTAATTAGAATCAGGAGATTTCAGACTCATTCAGCATGACAATGACATGTCTCTTGCTTCCTTCTTACCCACATCATCCCATATTTCCTCTTGTTAGTCAAGCCCGCACAGTGAGCAGCTAAAGGTTATCTCATTATTACACTTAAAGACCAGTCACCTGTGAGGACATGAAATCTTCAAATCCCTCTTGTGCTTATGTCTGAAGGTTTCCGATGCTGGCTGGTGAGGGCACGTGTGTTTTCTCCTTTCCCGTTAACCAGAACAAATTATTCATTGCTTTTACCTTGGAACAATAGGTACCCTGACAGCAAGATAAACATGCCAAGGTCAGCACTATAAGCCTAGCAGGCTCTCAACCCAGTGAACTTCTTAAAATGCCAATTTCCCAGTGTACATAGTGTTTTTATCTCTAGTCAGTTCATACCCACAACTTTCTCTGAGACCAAAACTGCACTTTTTTTTTTTTTTTTTTTTTTTTTTTTTTTTTTTTTAGGCAGAAAAACAAGGCTTTGAGTAGGTAATGAGTGATGTGTACAGGACAGCTTATGACTAACTTCCATACAAAGGCCAAGTATGTAGGGGATCTTCAGAGCAAAAGAAATGACTGAGTTATTATGGTCTAGCTGTCAAACTGCAAATGTCGCTGACAATTAACTGTGAAATGTAGTTTCCCACTGAAATTATGGGGTAGTGGGTTTAAAACAAAAGGAGATTTTGGAAGAATTTTCAAGTAGCTTTTATTATTATTGCCATGCAATGTCACTGATGATGACAGTGCAGACACATTCTAGATTAAACAAATATGTGTATTGATTTCAGGAGTTAATGAGTACATAACAGAACAGATGCAAACTTGATGAATTTTTTAAAATACTGATCGCTGGATCCTTAAAGAATCACAAGAGGAAGAATAAATTACAACTTGTCCGGTTTCTTACAGTTTTCCCTAACCATCTCCTACTGACCACTTCAAGAGTGAGGTTACTTAGCTAGGTAGACCATTATTCTATTTTGGTATTGCAGTCTCAGTTAAAAAAAAAAAAAAAAAAAGGTACTGATTAGTTTACCTTTATTTCACATGTTCATAATAATACTAGCAAGTCATAAAAGGAAAAGGTACCTATTCTACCTATTCACAAAACTGTGTTGACTCCTATATCCAGTGAAACTATAGTCATCAGGAATATTTGATCACTTGTGTGTTGCATTGAACATAACCAACAACTTAATATTGACTACCTACAGTTCATTTTACAAGAGCTCTGACAGTTGTCTCTGACGGCAAAGAATAGGTTTGAATTTTTGCAGGAGGATGCTGAGCCCTTCTGATATGCTCAAAACCTTCTTAGGGTCTGATACTGGCCCCAGATAGATTTCAGACAACAGTTATCATAGTTCTGCAGAGGCAAACTAAATCCTGTCACAGGTCACAAGATCCAAAGCTTCTCATGTTCATCACTGGTGGTGGTGAGAGAAAGGCTACCATGCTAGAGGAGAACAGGTTTGTGCAACACAGCAGGACGAGAAGTGACTACAGTCTCTCATGTTCACAGATGTCTGCTAATCAGGGACTACTGTCAGAAGACCACACTTCTACCTGACCAGGGTACCTAAGGTACAGGTTTCCACTTCCTGCAGAACCTCTTTATAAACAAACCTCATTATTTACAGCTTGAATTTGTTGAAGGCCTCTTGTTAAAACCTGGGTAGGTTGGCTACCTAGGCTGTTGCACCGTGACCTCCTCCAGTCCTTTGCCATATACTCCCAACATACCTGTGAAACATGGTCCCCAAGGACAGCATCTCTCTTAACGGAAATCTGTGCTTAGTGAGGCCCATGGGACAAAGTAACTAAATTTACCCTAGAAGCCCATATCTCATGTTTCTTATTTGTTAGTGCAGCTGAAGACAGAAATCAAGTTCTCTAACTTGGGGGACTTCACACTTCACACTTGGCATAGCTGGCCACTATTGCTGGGAATATTATTTGAAGTTTAACATTACTCCTGTGTCAGTGCCAGCTTCAGAAACAGTCATGCTAATTACCTTATAGGAACTTATGTGACAGACACCTTATCATGGACTGTCAAATCTCTCATCTTCACATAAAGAGAGTGAGAAGAAAGAAAGAATCGCAAATCATGGGCTAGGAGACTTTCAACTATAGATTAAATAATTACATATAAATTTACACTTTTTTTTACCTGTAGTTAAGAGTCCTGCAAATTTCACTTCTGTCAGACAAGTTCACAAGACAGACTCATGGATCAGACCAAGATGGAGAGGTTTAGAGCATCACATAGATGTCTAAGCTTTGGCATAGAACTCATGGGGAACAACTGAGCAGAATTCCCACAGACTTTCACTTGAAAGAGGGCTAGCTTTAGTCATGGGCAAAGCAAGTGATTGCCTATAATAGCACACTAATGTTGGCTGTAGGAACACTCCTGGAATGAGCAGCTAACATCTGCTGCCTGTGTATCCAACACTACTTTTTGTTTGTCTCCACTTCATGCACTCATCCTTTTTATCCAACATTAGGAAACTTCACTCTGTCTCAACTCTATCTGATATCTGTGAAACAATGGGGTTTCCAGAGCGAAGGGACGGTTTGCAATCTAGAGTGCAAAATAGAAAGCATTTGTGCTTAGTTCTAGTAGGGGAATAAGGTTCTGCCTGTAGTATTGTAGAAGTTAAATTGTCCACAGAGATAATTTCCCTTCATGTTGGGTGCAGCAAATTAAATTCTGAAGAGCCATGAGCCAGCTGGCCCTTGTGTGAGTACATCAGGGAAGAAAAAATTCAATTTAGACAAGTTGTCTTGGCAGAGCTTATAATTAGGGTTTTGGTTTTGTTATTGCGTGTTTTTTCTCTTTTCATTCTTATGAACTGAGCATGTTTGATGAAGAACTTTTGCCTTCCTTGGAGTCACAAGTTTCTTTTGTGGAATTACCCCTTGTCACTGAAATGAACTCTTAACATAGACAAATAAAACAGGGCTCAGAGAAAACTTTGTAATGAATATTTTAAGTTTATCCAAGTCTAGAGTCTCATCCCAAAGAACTAAGTGTCATTCTACAATCTAATAAAAGGAATATGGTGCATAGTCTGGATTTTTTTTTTTCCTTTTGTACTGCTTACAAATAGCAATGGATAATTTCATCTGGAGTGCTCCATCCAGTTTTGGGCACCATCTATTAGACAAGCCAAAGAGACTGTAAAAAAGTTCAGCAATAATTAAGAGGCTTGAAATACAAGACATGAAAAGAGGCATTCAAGTTTCCCTTGTTTAGGAAAGACTAATTGGGACCATAACAATAAAGTTCAAACATGAAGAAAAGTGAAATAAAGAGTTCAGTTGTCCTCCATGCCAACCAAAGATTAGGCAAGGAGCAAACAATTTCAAATAACAGAGATCTGGATAGCACATTAGGAAAAATATCTATCTGGATTATAGTTAAGTACTCAGACTGGTCAACTAGGAATATAGTAGGATCTCCACTGACTGCTTTCAAGACTTTAAAAAACGAACAATCGCTGGACACAGTATAGGTATACTCAATCCTATCTGGAGCCAAAAGATGTTTCAGTCTGCAGTGAAAAGGGATAATCTCAAGAATGTGTATCCCAGATCAGTGTATTTCAAGGCCAGGCAGGACCATTTTCGTCATCTCTTCTGAACGTCTGCATAAGGAAGGCTGGGAAATTCCAAAAGATGATGGGTGCATTAAACAATCAAATCTAGTAGAATCAGGATGCAAAAAAAAAGGACAGAAAATAATTCTTATATTTTAGCAAGAAAATAGGAATTTTAGATTCAATTATCTGTAACTGAGTTCCTAGAAAAAAAATGCAGGAAAAGATCATGCAATGAAGTATTTATGTTATTTCTAGGTACTTAAAAAATGGCAGTAACAGCTAAGTATCTCATGCCAACGCACTCTAACGTTATGTAGCTAAACCTAGCTAAAAAGTGTCCTCAAAGAACAGTTACAAATACTTTGCTGTGAAAGTTTATGTTCTGTTTTCTTGGACCTCAATAAATGTTCTCATCAAAGACACTGATGATGAATCAGAGAATATCTTTATTAAACTTTCAGATGATAACAAACAGGGAAAAACTGCATGTGCTTTGGAGACTACAGTTTTAAGAATTTTAATTTATCCTGCCCAACTGTAGAAATAGGCAGGAAAACAAAAAGGATACAATTTGGTTGAGTCAGTGGCAGATATGATATTTCATCAGAAGGAGCTATCAGAGACAGAAGACTGCAAGTGAATGAAGAGACAGCAGTTCTGGGAAAAAAAAAATAAAAAAAGACAATAAAAAAGAATTTAAGGTCAAAACTAAACATGAATCGGTGTTGTCATTCTCTTGCAAAAAAAAAAAAAAAAAAAAGCATTCTGAAGTGTATGACAGGAGTGTTACATACAGGATAGATAAAGTAACCCTTCCAACAGTGATAGAGCATGAGTTTAATGTCCAGCCCTAGGTCACATATTTCTGGAATGATATGGAGAAAATTCTGATGGTGCCAAGAAAACAAGACATATAAGAAAATACTAGGATAATTATTTTCAGTGATAAGAGATAAGATGTTTGAAACAAGACATCACAAAAATGAAGATGTGTTGGTCTCCAAGTTTACTAAGGACAGGATTCAAAGACAATGAAGTCAGGTATTTTACAAACTTTCTAATATAAGCATAGAATATAATGCCAACAAAAAGTCTGAAATTTCTATCACTATAAGGCTTTGGGAACATCTTCCAAAAGCCTCAATGAACTGGTACTGGAATGCTTAAGAACATTGGAGCATTCTGGGCTTTTTCAAATCTATTCATATACATCTGAATGTATGTTGGTTTTCAGATATTACATTTTACTCATACATATTTTCCTGGTTTCTTATAGTCCTGCCAACCTTCTGATAAATAGAGGTATCAATTCCAATATATGAATGACTACTCAAAATCAAACTAAAGGTCATTGGGTACATTTGGGATGTTATATGGTTCTTCAGTCCATGGCTTTCATCTTTGCAACTAACAGTCAGATCTTGAGCTTGTAAATGGAAGCATGATGGCTGCTTTCTAAGGCATGCATTATGGTAGATAGCTGCCTTGCCACCTCAAAAAATCATAAGCAACCAAGGATTATCCTCTTGCTTAAACAGACTAGATGAAGATACCTAAATGCAAGCTAAAAATAATAGAAAGGGTGGAATTGGAAAGAATGTTAAACTGATGAATTGACCCACCTTCCTACAAGAAGGAAGGAATTAACATGTTGAGATATACCTCTAACGTATTTGTCCATCTGAAGGCTCACAAGCAACCAGAAGAACAGAACAAATACTTTCACATCTTACATATGAAAGTCCTGTTAATACATCCCTCCCGACAAAAAAACAACCTTTTTTAATATTTGCCCTCATTCTTCCACATGCAGGGAAACTTCAACAGAGAAAGTACATGTTTACCCTTTTCTCCATAACACCATTGCAGTGTAGAATAAATGGAGTAGAGGAAAGCACCTGAACTTGGTATCATCTCTCTTGTTCCTTGGCAGCAAAGGGAAGTTTCTTACTCTTCCATCTGCCTGGGCAGGAAAAAAAAAACCAAACAAACAAACAAACAAACAAAAAAAAAACCACCAACACAAAACCCCAACATAATAAATTAACAGTCAGATGAAGTCTATAGTACTGCCTTTTTCAATGTCACATAAGAACAGCCAGATGGAGTCTGAAAGAATTACTTTAAGGACAACTGACCAGAGCAGAAAAGACAAGTATTAACATTTGTTGTCAACTATTTTATGTAATGCCCTAGGCCTGAAATCTCCCAGCATTGCAAGTTATCCTTTCACAAGAGCATGCAAAGATAAAGCTGTACACCATCTGTACTCAATGTATTCTTTCATATACTTATCAAATTCTGCAATGTTCCCTTATAGCTGCTGTCCTCTCAAGCAAGGTGCAGAAGAATCTGAAACTTGTAATCCTGATATAACATTCCTGGAACTTCAGATGGGGATAGGAACAGCTGAGCTCTCAGCTTCTCATCAGTTCACCTTATCTGGGTCTACCTTTGACAAGCTCTGTGCTGTACCCAGACAAAGTGGCAGTGATTTTTGCATCCATAAAACACTGTGATAATGCCAAGCCCTTTCAGTTCTTCACAGTGCAAACGGCTCTGCTGCTTGGACAAGACTGTGCCAAAAAGCTAGGGAAAACAGTCACGGAGACAGCATGGAAGGTCTGGGAGGAGATATGTCTCTGCCTGAGTTGAAAAAATAAATCCACATCCCTTTCAGTTCTCATCCTTCACAGATCACACACTACCCACTGCACCCACAGCTTAAGATATATCTGTATTATAAGAGATAATACTGACAGCACCTAGTTCCACAATCACAATGTTGTTAGTAACTGTACACACTGTTAGTCACAGTTCCTGATAGATTTAAAAAAAAAATCCTGACAAAGCTGATGACTGAAAGTGTCTCTGGATAAAAATCCCACCAGACATCAGCATCCATCTTGTCTCTGAAAGGAATGCAGACCTTCCTCTTTTGCTGTTTCACAAGCTTCTTGATAAATTTTCAGTACCAAAGTATCCTGAAGTAATTGCAGCATTTCAATTCAATTGCATAGAAGATATACGAGAGCTGTCCATACTATATTTGTCATCTGTCGTGACAATTTTTAATCACAATATGAAACCCTAAACTAATCTCTGACAGTTGATTTCTAAACATGTACGCATTTTTTACTTAATAATCCCTATTTCATTACTTAGAAGGTTCAGAGTATTTATATTATTTTCTTCAAACTAAGCTCAAAACATTGTTCTTCTTCGCTCTGAACTGAAAGAAACTGCTAGTAAATAAACAGCAACCCAACTGTAAAGTGTAAAAGCAGAAAATTTTACTTGGATTGACAAGGCAAAAGATTAAACTGTTCATTTGCAGTGTTTCTATTTTATCTGCTGACATAACTTTTAAAATCCATTTTATTACAGGAAAAAAAATAATCTATTACAATAAAATCATTATGCATACTGCATAAATTACAAAGGAGTAGCCAAGCAGTTCCATTGGGCTTTTATCCTCATACAAGAAGCTGTGTTTCAGAGTACAAACTTGTTAACATAAGAGCTTTTTTTCAGTAGGAAAATTTCCCTCATTACAACCCTAAACAGAAACATTTATGTCAGTATAAACACACTTTTTTCAATTAACACTTTCCTATAAGGATTTATCACAAATCAACTATCCTCAAAGAAAAACAGTGAAGAGATGACACTCAGAGTTCTCTGCAGATGAAAGTGGTTCAGCAGCATTTCAGTCATCTCTCCTTCTGAGAGCAGTGAGAGTGGATTTAGGTAATCAGAGTCAATCCTTGGAACATACCCTGAAATTCAGGAAATGGTCACAGCCACCCACCAGAGTTTCTCCATCCCAAAGAGAAATTTCTAGCTGTTATGGTTGTTCTGAGAGTAGTATTAAAACTCACAGCTCAGTATTATGATACCCAGTCCCATGGCTGGGTTAAAAAGTGCCCTCAATTTAAGGGAACTGGAATTAATTCCTCACAGATCTTTGTCCCTAGGTCTAATGTAGGCTCCTATTTTCTATTTCACTGTATATAATTTTTCATCAAGATTCACAGCTGATGTAGACTAATGATGGAACTCCACCCAGGCTTGCTGTAGACAACAAATACCAGAAAAGGGGCACAGACCTCTTGTCAGCCTTCACCAGCAAAGTACAGGTCTTCCTCTGACTACCACTTGTACTCTACCACTACTCCATTGTATTTAATTCCTGCCATTCTTTCCCAATCAAAGAAAGAGAAACCCCCAAGGGAAATGCACTGTACACTCTTGCCCGAGCTGCACACCCCATGTCCTCAACATCCATCATCCCTGCAGCAAGGGGAGCTCTGCTTGTGGACATGCACAATTTTTTTTTACAAACTTGAGCTGCATGTTGCTCATAAACAGAAAAGCACATGCAGCTTCTGAGCCTAAGGCTTTGGTGCATCTGTCAGAGCAAAGCTAAAATAAGGTTCCATATTTTGGCTTCATGGTACTGTACAAGATTATTTGGCACTGTGTTTTCTGAGCTTGTGAGGTCAGGTCTTCAATGTTGCTTTGTCATTACGTGGATATATGAGGTAAGTTTAAGGTGTTCTGAGCTTTTAATTTTGGAACATTGCTTTGTTACCCAATCCACACCCTTCTGGACAAAATGAAAGCAGCACAACAAATATTCAGTAAGAATCACAGTTCTATCTGTGTGTGCCATAGGGAGATGGAAATCTTTCAGCTTGAGTTTCTGATTTATTATGGAGAGGCCTGCAAGCTCAAGATGCATTTTCCATGCATTTAAGACTTGAAATTTATAAAACTTTTCTCTGAATCTTCCATATGACTATGACTATTAAAATTGCTTCAAAACCTTTTTAAACTACAGATGTAGGAATTTTCACATATCATCTGTCTTTACTTGAAACATCTGAGATCCTGAAGTGTTGCCTTCTTGGACAGACTGTGTGGTGAGTGATTATTTACTCTGTCTTAAAATGAGCAGTGCTGATGTAGTGCAGGCCCTAACCACCTTCAGAGAGTAAATACACCTACAAGGTCAGGTATTGACTTTAAAGGTGACAGAACATGACCTCACACCTCATTCAGGTGTCATCAAACCACAGGGTGAGCCACTAAGCAATTTACTTTTTTGTTCACAAGGACAAAAGCACTTATGACAGAAATATCCCACTGATATTATTTTCTGTTAAGAATATATCAGCTGCTGGAAGTGGGGATGTTCACAAGCCTACTGAGCTACTTTATTTAAAGTCTTAACTTTTTATTGCACATCAATTTCCACCATTTCAGGAATACTGTATGGCAAAAGTTAAGATTTGCTCACAGTGAGAGAGAACTTACACTTCAAGCACATTTGGGACAGATCTGGTTACTGGTTTCAAGGAAAAATGTTGAACAGATCATATTAAGTAAATAAAACAGAACACCTACAGAACCTATAGAACACTATTTGTCAAATTTGCTGAATATTTCTTTATTCCATATTAGTCTGGTTCACACATCACATCTTTTAACTATCTATGTAAATGTCAGAATATAAATGAGAATATAATTTCTGCCATACAGTCACTGACTTCTACAGTATTTTGAGTAATTTTACAGGAATTTTGAGCATAAAACATATTAAAACCACATTAGCCTATTATGCTAAAATTCAGAGGCAGATATCTTTTATGGTATGTTGGCACAAACCTAGGAATTACTCTAACTACAAGTCCATTGCAAAATATTTCCTGAAGCATCATCAATGCCATTTTGGATGAGAAATTACTTTTCCTAAAATACCTTCTATAGAGCTAATGATGTATTAATTCTTAAATCTAGTAGTCTGTTTCTGCCCAGATACACCCCTTGTACCTCTGCAAAGATGTACGTTTTTTAGCACTGCTGTTTCACCTACAGGAATGGAGCTATTGTTGAAACGAACTGGTATGTTACTTAGTTGAATCTACATCTTCAACAGTGCCTTAAAAGATCTCAGGGAAATTTCTGACATTGGAAAAAACATTGGCATTTGGCAGGTAGCACTCTCCTCTGGTTGCCTTCTCTCTAGACTCCAAAATCTGTGAGGAGATCCTATTTTTAATCAGTTTTCATGCCTTAATCTAAAAAGGAATGTTTCATTTTTTTTGTTTGTTTGATTTGTTTTGTTTTATTTTGCTTCGGTTTTGGATTTTTTTTCTGAGAATGGATTAATTATGATAGTTTTTAGCAAAGATATTAAGCTAGATAAACAACAATTTATTGCCAAGTAAACTGAGTATTTGGCACCAGCTACCCTAACCAACAAATTTTGTGTGGATCTGTTAAATAATCTCTTGTCCTACTTTTCTGTATGTGAGCCTAGAAATACCTGAGATTATCCTTTTCAAGTGTAACTTTCAGTGCCCCAAAATAATGACAGAGAAACATTGTCCTTCCGATTCCTGAGACCTTTATTATTCCTTGTCCCCAGATAACATCTTCTTGAGTTCATACATCACTGCTTGCCAGCTGCCTCTAGATTCAAAATAATCACAGGATCATTGTAAACCAGGGAAAGAAGGATTCACACTGTAGAAGTAGCACAAAAACTGAACACTGTGCTGTCATTTAAATTCTCTGTGTTAGTCTTAAAGTGATATTCTGAACAGCTCTACAGCCTCTAAATGAAACGCTTCATTATTTCTTTGATGGTTGTCAACTGTCTACTACTGCTTTTATTACCCCTGAGACAATCACATGGGAAAAAAAAAAAAAAAGACAACATGACATCCTTGATCATAGCAGAATGGACATTTTGTGTGTCCTCTGACTCTACAATGAACAGAGTACTCAGAAGCACTGAAAATAACTTTATCCTTTTCCTCAAAACACCTCCCCTCTAGTATTATTGAGGGTTTTAGCAGTATGCTAAAATACAGCTAGAAATAAATCCAGTAACAGACAGTTTACAAATGAAAAACTGTCCCAAATGTCTCCCTAGTAACTATAAGCTGAATGCATTTTTTTTTCTTAGTTCTATTAAATTTCAATTCCTATGCAAACTGTACGCACAGCACATATGCTGTTCCTCATATTTTTCTATCCTAGTCTGTAGGAGTTCTTATACTGAGTTCATAACCAAGCTCAGTGCTTCACTACACACTATTACCATGCACGTACTTTGTGCTGGTTTACCAAACAGTATTTCATTCCTGGAGTATGACCCTCCTCCATTTGAATTATATGGAACAAATTCTGTTGAATTAACTCAAGAGTATGTTTGTCCTCTATGACATGATCTAAGGCTCCCTGTACCAAGGTAATATAAATCTCTCTCCTAATGGCAGCAGACTCTAAACTAGATCTTCAGTATCTAACTGAAAATAAACCACGTGGTAGTAGCAGTGTTGTAAGTGAAAGGTAAGGAAATATTCCATATTGCTCTGAATGGAAACTGGGAAACTGCAAGAATTCAGTCTCCCATCAGCATGCCGTAACAACTGGCATACCATTCTGCAATTTCTCACTGCAGCTGCAGCCAGCCCTGAAAAAAAATTCATACATTTAAAAAGTTTGTAAAATGACACTTCTCAAAAAATTGCTCTATTTGACTCCCCAGATAGTCCATCTATTTCTTCAGATAAAGTCAAAATCAAATGGTTAAAGCTGATAAGTTTTTCAAAGTATATTTCCAGCAATCATAAAAATATGTAATAAGATCAACTTCACAGTCTCTTTCTGGAATTAATCTCTGCAATGAACTCTTCCCTTGTCATTCCTGGTACTGAATATATTTTCAGCAGCAAGAGACATCTACTAACATGTGGTAAAGTTGTCAAAACCTATGAGATCATATAATTTGGGAACTGATGAATTGCTAGTGTCTACATAATTAATTGGGGAAGAAAACACTGGATAGGGTCTCACCTTTTGCTGTGTTTCCTGTTCAAGCATCGAATGCAGGTAAATTTAAATTCAAAAACCCCTCAGTTAACACCATTTTTGCATAAATTTTCTCTTAATCACTGATACCTTCCAAAAATTTTCTCCTCTTTGCCTCAAGATGTTTTCTTTTATTCCTCTAAAAGACTAGCTACCATGCAAACAGAAATAATGCTGGTTTCTATTTAGCTTTCAGAGGTCAGCAATACTGTAAGATAATAGGAAAATCTAAATCAAAGATTCACAAACCATGATAAACAAACCAGAGCCTCCCTATGCCAAAGGCAGGTCACAGAATGCACACAAGTACCTCCCTGAACCATGTCATGAGATCCTTTATAAGAGAAATGATTCAGCAGCAATTGTCTGCATCTAATAGTTATTGACAATTGACACTTCCACTTAATAAGCTGATTGAAAATGACTTGCAACTGTGTGCAACATCCCAGCTATCCAATGGCACTTAAGGTACCTAGTCCTGGTCAATAGAAAGAGACAAGTGCTTCCAAGGAGAATTTGTCCCCTTGAATAAGATCTCCTTCATAAACCTGTCGGGTTTTCTTCTGTAGATATGACATTGCATATTTAAAGATAGCTAGAACTAATGCAGGTCTTTGTTTTTAAGAAAAGTTAGACTGATCTCAAACCATGCCTTTTTATGTGTACTTCAATCACACAGACAGTTTGCAACAGATCCGGAAACTATATAAAGCACATCATAGCCAACAAAAGCCTCACATCTATAATCTTCAAAGACTCATAAAACCGGAGCAAATGATTCATAGTTCCTATTGCTGCATCCTAATCACACACAGCTCACAGTTCTACATGGTTTGGGTGCAAAGTGAAACATCACAGTTATGAACAAGTTGTGCTTAAAGAATTTGACTGTATTCAAGCCCAAAGCTTACATCTCGAAGGTGTAGTTTTGTGATACAAACCCACACTCCCTCACAATCATAATGAAAGAATTTTCATGAGAGTCCCAAAGCAAGAAAATCTGTTTAAGACTGGTACAGTGTGATACACACCGTGCAGCTTGTGTTATCTGTTCTGCACAGCAAAAAGTAGGAGGCAGAAATACAAACCATGGAGGACAACATTAGGCTCTGAACATCACAGAGTTCAGTGCTTGCCAGGATGTGTTATCTGGAGAATCAGAACACCTGAGATTTCTCTGGCAACTCGCCAGCTAGTGTCCTTTTATTAGAGAAGGAGAAAAAAACTCACTTTCATTATTTTTAACTCCAGAGTGGCTAAAAAGGTTTCTGTTGAAAAAGGAAACAAGAGTAGATAACCTTACCCTCATTTTCCCTTTCTCCCTTGCACTCTTTTAGTGGAGATGAAGTATATAAGCCCATCTGAAATTAAGAAGCTACTTGGCATGAATCCAAATATTTAATAGCCTGAAAAGAAGCCAAATTATTTCCTTCTCTCTTTGCATTTCTCTTCAATCTGCTTTTATATCATCTTGGTTGGATCAAAGCCAAGAGACTAATATAGAAATATTTCTAGCCAATCAATATATCTATTGGAAAACACCTTCCATAACTGACAGAACAATCTGCAACATGGGAATCCTACCCTGAATTTCTTGGAGAAAAATTAAAAGCATCTTTCTAAACCAACAAACTACTTTTTACCTAAGTCCTATCTAAGAGTCATCTTATTTTCACAGACTAGGACATGGTCATAACCTATGGATAAACATAATAAAAAATAATTATTTTGTTTAACTCTCTGTTCTTTTGGCTGTGAGCTGTGAGTCAAACCATCTGTCTTTCCCTGGATGGCTGATGAATGGAGTAACATCAGCCTTGGCCAAACATAAATCAATATATGACATTATTCAGAATAACACTGATATAACATCCAAGGAAAACTGCCAGCTACTGATTTTATGTGATTATTAATATTTATTGTCAAAGACAAACTGAACTCTCCTTTCATACAAACCCATGGAGTATTTATTCCCTTAGTGTCAAAAACACTTTCCTCTGAAATTACCTAAGTAACATCAAAGTAAACTTGGACTCATCATAGCATTAACATGTCACTTCTGTTTCAGGCCAGAAGAAAGGATTATATGACTGAAAGATGACTTCCACTGTCTCCCCTCTCCACACACACACTGTATAATTTTCATGTGCTAAAAGATACTACTTATGCCCGCAAACATTACCTAGGGTATAGATATAACCTTTAATGAATAATGCAAATATGTATTAGAAAAGTAACTAAATGAGTCACTAAACATGTTTTACACAGCATAATGTCACTATTGGAAGTTCCAATACATTCAGCTACCCAGAATTACATCATGATGCTGCATACACATCTCAGCTTCTAGATGTTTTTTTGCTTTTAATTTGAAAAATAAAACAAAGAAAGGACATGATGTCATTGACTCAAATTGTTTTGAAATAGGTTTGGCAGCTTGCTTATAAACTACAACTTGCTTATAAGTTACAACTCTGTCAGAAATAGTCAATTTACTTTAAAATACTGCCTGTAATTGAGTGATAAAATGTCTGTGGAACTTCTTTAGGACAAGATTATTTGAAGATATGACTAAATAGGCATACTAGTGTCATAAAGCTGTCATTCTAAGAACAGATTTTTTTTTTGAAGTTGACTGGAAGCACATATTCAGCTCCCTTGTAAGGTATAACTCCAAGTAAATTAAGTATTCTTCTCAATTAAACATGTGAGCACCAATGGCTTCTCAATCATTTTGTGTACTGGAGTTCTCAAGCAATAGATTTCTCAGTTAAACACTAACCCTAGATGTAGGACCAGAAAGTAGATTTTAATTCAGTATCACTCTTTTTATCTTTGTAAGGAGCCCTCCTAACTGCAACTCATAAGTGTTCCTTCTTAAAATAAATTAGCAGAGGTAGGTTATGGCACGTTCTCATCTCAGAGTTAGCAGAGAACCTATAAGCATCCATGTCTGCTTCCCACATTGTTGACATGTATAGTACTTCTGTACACAGGAAAGTCTCAAAATTGCCAATATTACTGCACAAAACTTTTATTGCCTGTCAAAATTTATCTACTGAAACTTCTTATATCATTCAATCACAGAAGCCAACCAACCTTCTACCTTACTATGTCAACTTACTTATATTCCTCTACTATATCCTCACAGATATCATTCATCTCTATTTACCTTTGAACATCTATTTATCTTCATGATCTCCCTATATTACTTCAAATCTACATTTCTCTAAATTTTGACATTCACAAATCTCTGAAATCACTGAAGGATAAAATAACAACAATCACTTCACCTTGTAGCACTTTGAGTCAGTGGATCTGAGCACCCTTACAAATGATTTGTAGACAACATTTCCTCTATTGGAATGGGGAATGAGGGGAATATGGGGAATTTGTGACAGAGTAAACTGGGCAACAGACATAGAGGTGGTCAGTGGCAAGGCTGATAATAGAAGGCAAATCTACTGAATCCCAAGTAATTCTGATAATTTGAGATGAAAACTAAAAATAATTTTACCTGTGTTTTGGCTGCGACAGTGTTAATTTTCTTCATAGTAGCTAGTATGGGGCTAGTTTTGGATTTGTGCTAGAAACAGTATTGATAATATAGGGATGTTTTAGTTACTGCTGAGCAGGGCTTATGCAGAGTCAAGGCCTTTTCTCATCCTCACCCCACACCACCAGCGAGTGGGCTGGGCGTGCACAATGAGTTGGAAGGGGACACAGGCAGGACAGCTGGCCCCAACTGACAGAAGGGATATTTCATACCTTATGGCATCATGCTGAACAATAAAACTAAGGACAGGTTGGTGGGGAGATGCTTCTCAAGGACTGACGGGGCATTGATCAGTTGGTGGCAAGCAATTGTTTTAATTTGTAATACTTCTCTTTCTTGCATTCTATTTCTCTCCCTTTGTTATTTTTCTTTATTATATTTGTACTTATATTTATGCTTATGTTTATGTTTATATTTATTTTCCATTATTAAACTGTTTTTATGTCAACCCACAAGCTTTTTCACTTTTACCATTTTGATTCTCTTCCCCCATCCCACTGGTGGGGGGAGCGAGTGGACAGCAAGGTGGGGCTTCATTGCCTGCTGGGTTTAAACCACAACACTGGCTTACCACAATAAATTCAGGAATGTGGGAGAAATATATACATGCAGGTTAATGATGTGAGAGGTGCATGGTTGTAACTCAGGGGGATGGTATAAATGTCAGTTCATGGTAGGTGTTTAAATGGACAAAAGCTGTGAATGAGTATTAGCGTGTGGAAGACAGTGTAGTATTTTTATGTAGCAGCAAAGGAGATGACATAACATTTATATTAGATTAATAGAAATCTCTTTTATGGAAGGATGCAAAGAGTTTGCAAACAGTAGATAATCTTGAAAACACGATGAATTCACACCCAATGTTTTCTCAGGGTTACCTTTAAGACCATGAGGATGGATGTCCACATATGGTGACCAGCAGCTGCTAAAGGAAGAAAACATCAACACAGACTCCTCATCACTGCATATACCTTATTAGAGCAAGGTATACCTATGTATACTGCAGGCTCTGACACCAACCAACAGACTATTTAAGCTCCCATTTTGAGGACAATTGGTTCAGAATGGAACATAGTGTTATTCAGGTCTTGGAGTAAATTTAGAATAATTTTATTTGTCTACAATAATTCCCATCTTATCTTCTCTTTGCCCAAATGCTCTTCCAGAGCAGGCAGAGATAGAACAGAAATAGTTTGATTTCCTCTAACTTTCTATCATCTGACACTTAAGTTACCTGCTTGGAGCAATAAAGCACTCTTCATAGCTCTCACATATTCATTGCGAACTTCAAGAAATAAAATCTTTTATTTCCCTAGGCCCTGGTATATTATTGTTCTACAGAAGATACAATTCATCATAATTTTTTGTGAGGGGTATGTGGCATATACGAATGACAAGTCATATCCAAGCAACTGCGCAACATGGCCTTTATCCAAATAAAATAATCAGCCCTGAGAGAATGCAGCTGGTGTGGCTTCATTTAGAATACTTCACAGTGGCTGAGACAATCTAACCACTTTTTGTATCAAAATTGTTATAGAACATAGGAGCAAAGCATGGACTCATAATAATTTCAACTTCTTCTTCCCAAAGCACTTGAAACTACAGACCATAAATTGTATCAAATGAGACACTTACACATCTTCTTTTCAAAACCGCCCACCTAACCTCATCCTACTCCTATCAGAGAGAATTAAAATCCAAAAAATGATACATGATTCACAGCCCAGTAATAGGAAACCAAACATAATTTTCAGCAATGACATGTTGAGGATACTGCTGTTCTTTCCTTTGTAAATGATGGCACCTTAATACACAAGTTTCACAGATTCTTGAATGCGAAGATATTCATCAAAACTAACTGCACCATAAGGACCATTCAAAAAAAAAAAAAAAAGGTAGAAGCTAATGGAGAAAATTGCTCTGAAATGCATTAAACTTTTGGCAGTAACTGAAGACAGCTAGGGAACATATTTATATTCACACTGAAGTATGTAATTCAGAGCAAAAAATTTTCAGACTGGGAGAGAAATGTATTTACAGATATTTACAGGAACTTGGTTGCAGCAGCTCAGGCAACAGGATCTCTTAGTGAGAGCTGCTTTATCCTTTAATAGTTGTGGAGTCCCCTTATGCAATGTACCAGGAAGTACATTAAACATACATGTGGCATGTATAAAACAGAATTATGTAACTGTACACTGGATAACTCTCAGGTTTTGATCATTTCAATCCACTGTGTGAGATGCTGCTGAAGTTATTGGATACTTTTTTCTGAATAAAAATATTAGGGTTTGACTCTCATACCTATTCTCAAGCCAAACATATTTAAAACAGGAAGGCTAAGATGGAGGGACAACAGCCATATTATTGTTTCTTGAGTTTCTTTTCTCGTTTCTTTATATACCAGTTGTATATATATAAAAAAAGTGAAAGTACTACACAGCTGTAATTTGATTGTATTACCTTGGAATCAAATCTGCTTGGCAACCTGATTTGATTTTGAGGATCTTGGTGGAAACCTGCAGGGTGTGGAAAGGTTCTGCAAGGACTCTTGCCAAATTGGACTTCTGTCACTGAACACAGGCTGGTTTGAAAAACCCATAAAAAACTCAAAACCTTCCTAACACATTGGTTTATATTGACAGCCCTGCTCAAATATAGGTGATGTGTTTGAAGAAGTTTGTTTTGAATTTCAGTGGAAAAAATACACTTTCACTGCAGTCATCTTAGAGCTCCTGCCCCATAGCACTACACTTCCTAGTTCAGAGAAGTACCAAAAAAAAACCAAACCCAAAGCACCAAAATTACAGGGTTTGCAACAACATATCATACCAATAACCACAGGATGGCGGCATTCCCAGTGAAGTGTTCTGCCTCACACACTGTTTCTTTGTATAGCACAGACTCCTTTCAGCTTCATACGAGTTCATCTGCAACACTGTGGGAGTGGAACCAAAGCCCCTTCTTCTCTTGCACTCAGAAGGACACAGGAGGTGATTCTGCCTACCTTTGTGAAACAAGGAGCAACATTCCTGGAGAAGACACTTTCTTTATCACACCTTGTTTCAAAATAGAAAGTAACTGCGGAGGCAAACCCTATACTGCTTTATTTTCTTGGGTGGCTAGGCAATGTTTTTTCATTAAGAAATAATTCCCAGAGCCAGAACAGTCATGTATTTTCTACTGTGAATTTTGTTATTTTCAAAATGAAGACATCAGCAATAATCTGACTTGATTTCTTGAATCATTCTTAGTGGCTATTGCATCTCTACTGTGAGGTTCATAGAAACATGGGCATAAAATGAGCCTACTCTTACAAAATAGTAATATAATAATAACATACATGTGTGTATGTATATTAGGGTGCTACCTGCTCTTAGATGCTGACAATGTATTCAATACGAATACATTCCATATTATGTAAATGATGCAACAGAAAACAGTATGTTTAAGTCTTATCAGTACTTTGAGTTTTAACCAGAAAAAAACAAGGGGGGAAGGTTTTGCAAGAGAAAGGCTTACAGACAAAAACTAGATGAATATTCACTTCCAGATTAATGCAAAAAGTAAACAAAGAGGGAAAAGGGAATAAGAATAGGGATTGATTTGCAATCCGGAGACTAACAGATTCAAGGAAAAGTGAGGACTGCTAGCAGGCAAGCTGAGTAAAATCTGGTACAGAAAAATAAAACAAACAGGAGGTACATCAGCCACAAACATCAGGAAAAGCAGATCTTTCTCTGATGCCAAGCAGTGCAAAATAAAGGTATTCTAGCTGTCATGCAATAAGGAAAATATTTTACCTGAAACAGAATTAGGCTCCTAGGAGAAAGGCAATCATGAGGTCAATAATACAAATGCTGAGACAATGTTTGATTGGCTTATGAAAGGGATCCTGGCTGCCTGCAACAGAAGGGAACAATCTCAATGACCTAGAAAATCCCCTTCAGTCCCATGTTTTTTGATAAACAGATATTTTATGACAACTATGGTGGCCATGGAGTTGTAAAGAATGAATGCTGTTAAAATAACCCTGCTAACAAAGTGTTAAAGAGTTAAAAAGAGGTAAACATGACTGAGGTTTCTGTGTACAGGGACTTGGGACTTGAGCTTGTCTTGTTGCCATGCCAGACACTGCAGGAAACACGTCAAAATTTATAAATGTACTGACTAAGAGAAAGTAAAAGCAAACAAAACAAGACATACTTTTATGAATTTGAAATCAAGTGGTTAGCTGAACAAATGTAATGAAAATGTTTTTTTGTCCCTTTCTGCAGATGGTTATAATTTCCCATTATGTTAGACAGCCCTTTGCCATGGGAAAGAAGAGTGAGTTTTGTTGTCCAGAGACATTGCTCTTGCCTCTATGCAAGAAGAGCATGAGAAATGGAACAGGACCTGCCCAATTTCCACATGAGCCCAGCTCAACACAATACTGCTTACAAGGACTTGAGACTTGGATATCTATGTCTTTGCAGCCCTGAACAGAGATCCAAGACTCTGAATTTGCACTTATGCACTGCCTTAATATTTCCAGAATATTGGAGCTTAAGAACAGTATTTAAGTTTTAAATGGGTTTAAGACCTTTAAAGAGGCTACATATAATTTTAAAACATATTTTGGAGGTCATTAGCATGTTTTCTTTTTGTACAGCCATTGCCTTCGTTACACTATTCCTGAACTATAGCAACAGAAGTCTATTAGTCAGATGGGGGGATCTACAGCTCCTGCTGCATTTGAGAGAAAGTAAGTGGTCTTGACCCCAACAGAGCATTTCCATTGCAATTCTAATATTCTTTCCCCCTCTTCACAAACTTTAAAATGAGTGATAATGAAATTCCCAGTTCCACTTTCTGAGTCTCCCTTTATAGTTCCTTGTTTACCAAGTGTTCTTACTTTTGTACAATTGTACCCTAGTTGCAGTGACTGCTGGAGTAAGGTTCCTAAAGTATAAGCAAGATTAGTCTCAGACAGCAGAGAATCACTCAGTTAGGCAGGCACCATTCTCTGAGAGTGTTTGCTGGGCCTGTGATCCCTCCCCACTCTATTGTATGTCAATGTAAAATATACGGAGCTGACTGTGCAAACAGAATAGAAGATTAAAAACATGGTCTGTTACATAATTTGAGTAAACAGGCATGAATAACCTACATGTATAAAAACTTCTCACACCAGCAGTTTTCAACAAATTGGGACCCCAGGATGGTTAACATCACCCCCAAAGTTTTCATATAAAATAATACAATTTCATAGTTCAGTCAAATTAGAAAAAAGTCTATTGAAATGGAAAAGGCCTGTTCCCAAAAAATGCATCTTATACCACAACACACTTTTCAAGGAGAATTCAGAGCATACTGTTACTTCTGACTCATTA